CTACAGCCATGCTACCCCAAGCCTGTCTGATCTCGGAAGCTAAGCAGGGTCAGGCCTGGTTAGTACTTGGATGGGAGACCACCTAGGAAGACCAGGTGCTATATGCATAAAAAAACAAAAAATAAAGGATTATAAGATGACAAGGTCCTTGAAATCTGTGAGGTCAACCAAGGGCTGCCTCACCAAAAAAAAAAAAGAAGAAAAATTTTAGATGCCCCCAAAATCAATCAATTTGACATTAACAGAATCAAGAAGAAAAATCATCTGATCATCTCAATGTATAGCAAAGAAAGCAACTAATCAAATTCCACCTCATTTATGATTAAAATCTCAACTAGGAATACAAAGGAACACACACAATCTGATAGACTATAAACCTACAGCTTACATAATATTTTACGGTGAAATATTAATAGCTTTTCTTGTACAACAGGCAATGTTACAAGGCTATCAGCCTTCATGATTTCTATTCAACATCGTACACAGCATTTTAAGAAATAAGATATTAAGATTGGAATAGAAGAAATAAAATTATTTACACATGGCATTACTGTATACACTAAAAAATCCAAAAAAAAATCTATGACTTATTAGAACTAATATATGAATTACTAGACATAAGATCATTATAAAAATTTGTTGTACTTCTATATACTAGCAGTAAACTACTAGAAAATGAAATTTTAAAAGCATAACAATACCAATTATAACAACAAAAATACAAACATCTAGGAATCAATCTACGAAAAGATATAAGATCTCTACAGAGGAAATTATAAAATATTACTGAGAGAAAATGAAGAATAACACATCACATTCATGGATTCAGAGACTCAATACCGTAAAGATGTAAATCCTCCTCAAATTGATTTGTAAATTCAATGCAATCCTAATCAAAATCCGAGGAGAGTTTTTTTCCTGAAAAGTGATAGGAGTCTAAAATTTAAATAAGTACACAAAGAGCTAAGTAACACTACCAAGTAAGCAGTGAGAAATATCAAAGTTGGAGAACTTACATTAACCAAATATGAAAAGTTATAAAGCTGCAGTAATTAGGACAATATGGCACAGGCATAAGGTTAAAAAAAAAAAAAACCCAAAGGAACAGAACAGCAGAACCAGAAACAAACCTGAATATACACCATTACTTGACAGGACAGAGGTACAATGGGGGGAAAGGATCTTTCAATAGCTGGTGCTGGGTTATATGGATATTCATAGGGAAAAAATAAACATCAACCTTTACCACACAACACACACGACAATTAATTGAGTCCTAAACGTGAAAAAGAAAACAATAAAGCTTCTAGAACACATAGGAAAGTATCTTTATGACTCTGGGGAGGCAAAGATACTCAAAAAGCACTAATCATTTCTTTAAAATGATATGTTAAACTTTAATAAAATTAAAAACTTCTATTCATCAAAAGATAACATTTCAAAAGTGAAAAGGCAAGCCACAGACTAGATAGAGGTATTTGCAATTAAAAGATCATATATACAGAAATATAAAAAACTACAATAAACCAGTAAGAAAAAGACAGGCAACCCAATTTTTTAAATGGGCAAAAAAACTTAAACGCTTCACCAAAAAGAATAGTCAAGTAGCCAAAAAACATATGACAATGTGCTCAAGATTTTCAGTCACCAAAGAAATGAGAATAAAACCACAAGACACTACTGCACACCTACCGAAATCACTGAAACTGCATATACTGAAAAGACCAGGTGTTGGCAAGGATGTAGAGCAACTGGAATTCTCACACTGTCAGCAGGAGTGCGGACTAGAAGAACCGTTTTGGAAAACTGTTAGGCTGTTGGAAAACAGCCCAAATGTCCATCGACAGGAGAATGAATGAATGTATGAGTGAATAACTCAATAAATAAGAAAACTGTGGTTATTTTCACATAGTATGGTACTATTCCACAATTAAATGAAGCAATCTAGTGCTACACACAACATGAATAAACATCAATAAACCTCACAAATCCATGTTCACCCAAAGAAGCCAGATGGAAGAGAAAAAGAGCACGCGCAACGATACCATGATATCATTTACATCAAGTCAAAAGCAGGCAAAACTCAACATAATGGAGAAAGGATACTCTTTCAACAAATGACAAATGGAACAATTTGAATTTATATGCAAAAAAAAGAAAAAAGGAATTCAACCAGTATGTCAAACCTTACACAAAAATTAACTCAGAACAAATTATAGATCTAAATATAAAAAGTAAAACTTTAAAACTTTCAAAGAAAACACAGGAGAAGATCTATGTGACCCTGGCTTAGGCAGAGTTCTTTACTGTAACAACAAAAGCACCATCTGTATGAGAAAAAATTCATAAATTCGACTTCATCAAAATCAAGAACTGCTCTTCAGAAGACACTGTTGACTGAAAAAACAAGGCAAAGGATAGGAGAAAACATTTACAAATCATATATCTAACAAAGAACTTATACCCAGAATACAGAAAGAATCCTCCAATCTTAACAATAAGTAAACAACCCAATCTAAAAATAGGCAAAAGATTTGAATACACATTTCCCAAAAGATATATAGATGACAAGTAAGCCCATGAAAAGTGCTCAAGATCATTAGTAATCAAGGAAATATTAATTAAAACCACAGTGAGAAACAAGTACAGCCAATATCAAAAACAGCTTAACATACGATGAGAGAAGTCATAACAGTGGCTACCTTTAGAAGGGAAGGAGTGGCAGGGGGCACGAAGGGACTTCTGTGGTGCTAACAATGTTCTCTTTTTTGATCAGGATGATGAGTGACACAGGTGTTCATTCTGTGAAAGCTATGTATACTCTTATGACCTGCTCACTTTTCAATATGTATATTATAATTCATTTAATAAGTTCACATTAAAAAAGAGAAAAACTTCCCATAAGCAACTCCATATCTAGGTGGCTTCACCAGTGAATTCTACCAAACATTTAAGGGGAAAAAAAAAAAAACACACAACAATTGTCCACAAACTGTCAAAAAACAGGTTCTCATTTAATGATGCCAGCATAACCTGATACCGAAACCCGACAAGGCCACTACAAGAAAGAAAAAATGTGGTATGATCTCTCTTATGGACAAAGTTGCAAAATTCCTAAACAAAATATTAACAAACTGAATCCAGTAATACATATGTTGGGTTTATCCAGGAATATATTTAACATTGAAAATGACCAATGTAATTCATCAACATGAACAGACTAAATGAGAAATTTATATAATTATCTTGATAAAAAAAATATTTGATAACAAGAAGTGCTGGCCCCACTTCTTTTCGGCATTCTACAGGAGGTCCTAAGCAGTGTAACACGGGTGGGGGAAAGTTATGAAGGATTGGAAAGGAAGAAATAAAACTGTCATTTTGCAGTGTGCATATAAATATACGTAAAAAATCTAAAAGAATCTACAGTTAAACTACGTCTCAAAGGATAAATCATTATCATTAGCCTCTACAAGTAAACTACTAAAATGCAAAAGAAACTATGGGTAAAAAGCAGAATGAATAAATAAAACTGTGGTATAATCGTATAAAGGAATCTCATACAGCAATGGAAACGAATGAACTACTGCAACAACTTGAGCGAATCTCGCAGAATGCTGACAGACACTAAAAGAACACACAGTGAAGACTTCCACTTACCTATTCAAAAACAGATAAATCTATGTTAAAATTCCCTGTGGTTACTGGTGAGAGGACAGTGGTCACCTTTAGACAGGACGGAGGAAGTCATTTAGAGAGAACTGGTAGAGTTCAAGTGGAGCTTTAAGAATCTTTAATATTCCTGTTGACCAATTACATAGGTATGTTCCCTCTGATAATTGGGCCACACTCTTTTGATCTGTTCACTTTAATATACATATGCTATATACCTCCATGTTTCAAAAAGTTTATTACACATTTTTCTAATCTTATTCCACTGCTTGACACCTTTGCATGGCTCCCCATGGCCTAAAAGCAACGTCTTCAATTCTAAGGCATGGCATACTATGATGTAGCTTCTACTTTTAAGCTAATCCTTGCCTGTCTACCCCACACATGTACTTGACATTCTAATTTACCAAAGTATTCACAGGCCCGGCACATGCCATCCCCCTTCAAACCTTCACACCTTCAGGTAGTTTCCACTGTCTGAAATTCCCCCCCTCTTCACATTCCCCGCCACACTCCCCACACTCTGCTCCTGCAATTTCCACCTAACTTGGATATTAGCACCTTGAACTCTTCCCCAAAGTTAATCACTGACTTCTGTAATCAATATATCTATTATTGTACACATCAAGCTACGCCATTAATTGCTTATTTATATGCCAGTACATCCTCTTATACTATGAACAACTCAAGCACAAGGTCTCAATTTTCATGTTGCCAGTGCCTAGCATGAGGCTTGGTACATGGTAGTCACTCAATAAATTTTAATGTTATGAAAACATACCTATAAATTAAGAAAGTAAAACCATCTAGGATGAAGCCTAAGTCTCATACTTCCTACACAGCACATAACACAGCAATAAACACATTATAGGCACACAACAGTGATAGTATAGCCAGTTACAGAACCTGTACCAAAACTCAACTCCATGGGTAAAATACTCTTTTCAAACCTAAGGTATATATGTCCTACTAGAAGTGCAAAAGTCATTTTCCTTTTATACACATAGATTTCTCAAGTTTTGAGATAGAATAAATCAAAAGAAATTACCTAGCCAAAATCTTTAGGAAAGAACTGAAGCCCAGAAAAAATAAGTGGTTTGCTCAAGGTCAAGGCTATAGCAGGAAGGCCAAGACTAGGACTCAGATCCCCTGGCCTCTCACTTAGTTTTTTCTCACAATCCATGCAGCCTCCCTTTCATACCATGCGACTTTTCAAAGTAAATGGTAGGGCTGCTTTACTACTTTAGATGGTTAGTATACTCAACTGCAAATTTTTTTAATTTCATTTTAAAATCTGGCTTTAACACATGAATACTAAAAGTACCAACAAGTTCAACCAGGAAAACACCATTTCCAGTTCCAATATCAAGCACTGAAGCATCCAACGGAATCTCGTGTTTCTGCATCCACCTTATTAGTCGATTCATACTCTCTTCTCCAAACCTATTAAAAACAAAGAATCAGTCAATCAAGTAACAGAGGAATATAGAGCAAAGATTACAGCTATATTTCTTTTAAGCAGATTATTCAATATGCTCGATCATATCTTTTTTGAAAGTAAGAATATCTGACTGCTTAAGCTTCATCTTTACTACTATTTAGGAAAAAACACATCCCAAAATAAAATGAATAGGTAAAGTTGATATACTACTCATTAATATTATTCTACATCAGCATTAACACTTATACATATTGGTGACTCAAATTTTTATTGCTTAGTAAAAATTTTTTAAGTTTTTAAAAGTTATAGGATGAGAGTAATTTTCCAATACAATCATCAAATTTAAATCTGGGTCATTAAAAAACAAAAAAGAGATTCTTTAAATCTACCCACTAAAGCCAGAATTAGTCCAAGGTTCCCAAGATGCTCAGGTCGTCTTTCTTTGGGATGAGCACTTAAAAGAAACACAGACACACGCACACACACGATCTTCTGAATCATAATTCCAGCATTTTGTGTAACTCACCAGATTTCTCCTCTATCTCCATATTCCTGGAAAGTGCGCAGTTCTCTCTCATAGACAGCATCCCAACTACATAAATGATCAAATGCAAAGCAAGATTCTTTAATTAAACTGTATTATGAATTAAATGTATGTTTCTAATATGTTAGAGATATTTATGACAGACGTTTAAAACATCAGTGTTATTAATAAGTGCACATAACTCAATCTCCTAACAGTTTTATGTTAAAAAAATGAAAGACATAGACAAGCAGAATAAATTTACATGTATAAAGCACTTAGAACAATACCTGACACCTAAAAATGCTATATTTTAGCTTAAAAATTACAAAAGAGTTTTGTTCAAGTATTCCTTAGTTCAAAACACAAGTTTAAAACTTGACTGTACAGGCATAGTGTAATACATACAGCACTTTTCAGTTTAAAATGTGCAGAAACAAAGATTTTCTACGAATACAGTGGTTACCGACAATGGAACTCAGCAAAGATAAGCGCTAATTAAAGGTTAAGTTTTCAAATTTGCTCCTTTTAAATCCAGCTTCCCCCATCTTTTGCCTTCTCTTCATTCATCTTCCACTTCATCTCCCTAGAATCCCTGCTCCCTCTCACCCCTCCAAGCTACCTCTCATCCTTACCTTTCCCCACGTTAATCGCCCATCTATTAATTCATAATTACTGAACATCTGTTTTAGGTCAGATCACTTTCTCCTACCGCAAGATGCCCCACTACCTCCTCGCTCCCTCTTCAGGTCATCCTACATCCCACCCCTCCCAGGTCCCACATCCCTATTCTCGTCCCTTTAGCTTTTCCAGCAGCCTGGCCAACGGTTCTTCCCTCTTCCCCTTCCTCCCCCCGCCCCCTTACCCTCGCCCACCAGCCTTGTTCGTCAGCCCTGCCCTCGCCCCCTTCCCCCAAGCATGCCCTTCAGGTTCAACACTCCTAAAAGGCCTCCCCAAGATCTTCAGAGCGCGTCCCGAAAGCCTCGAGCCCCTTAGATATCACACCTTTGAATTGCCTCTTAACCGCCCCCCGGGAGGCCCCTCGGAATTCCACCCCTCCAAAACCCCTTATCCTCGGCCGAGACTGCCCTTTAAGCTTCCTTCTGCCACGCCCCCGAGGTTCCCCCCAGCATCCGGGACCCCCAAGGCTGCATCCCTTCATCTCCTACGCCCGGGCCCAGTCCGAGCAGCGCCGCTCACCCCGCCCTGCCCTGCGCCACACTCACTGCTCTTGGGTCCCCAACGCCGACGGGGCGAAGCCATCCCCTCCGGGACTGACCGCCCCGGACCGCGCCGCGACCCCTGCGGCGTCGCCGCCGGACGCGTCCGCGCTCATCCCGCTCCGCGCCCCGGACGGCCGTTGGACTGCCATAGAGACGTGGCGCGGGCAGAGCGGACGTGCAGCCTAGCGCCTCTAGGCAACGGGAGGCCGCTCTCTCTACTGCTCCCCGCCCGCGCGGGTTCTGGGCTCCGCCTTGGTACCAAGTCCCGGATTCCTAACCCAGGCATGGGCTGGGCTGGACTTTGCCTCTCTCACTTGCTCCCTCCAGCCATCATCAGATGCACGCACTCCTAGAGGTGCCCGCCTAAGCGCCACTGTGTGTGGGGACCTATTTGTAAGGGATTATTCAAGGTATTTCACTTTGGAAAAAAGACTGGCAGAAAAAAAGACAGCTAACACTGCTCAACCCAAACACACAAATCACCTGACCTCTCCACATTGCGAGCAGATCTGAGCAGCATTACTTGGCTGCCGCCTAATTCCATTTGTGGCCGGGATCCCGCCTTGAAAATAACATTCTGGCCTCTTCTGACTTGACGTCACTAGGTGGACATGGAAATTACGCCCAGAGAAATGAATGTCCTACGACCCACTCCCCACCCCAAAATACACCAATTACAGGGATCAGAGTGTTGTGGAAGAGGGCTAAGTGAGAGTCCAGATGCCCGGATGCCTGACTCAGCTCTGCCCCTCACCGGGGACCCGGCCCTGTCCAAAACTCCTAACCTCTGTGTGCGTCAGTTTCCTCACCTACAGTGCGCCCGAAACGGATGGTGGCTTGTTCTACGGGATTGCTCCCAAACAGTGAGCCCGAAATTCCTCTGCCTCTTGGTCTGACTGCAATTGGTAGTTCTGCAATATAATGGAAGAGATCTTGAGCACCAAAGGTCTTGAGGAGTGGAGGGGTTCTGTAGCAGCAACGAAATACTGGTGGCCCAATGTCCTAGGCAAGGATCTCAAAGGCTTCTAGCGAGGCTGCGTTCCAACCAAAAGGAATGTTTCCTAGGCCACGTTTCTGTTGACTCACAGACAGGAGCCCAGTAACAAATCCCTAGAGGTTAACAGCAACAACAGTTGCCTTTCCAGCTCCCAGAAATCCTTGTTAGGACCGAATATAAATCTCCTCCTACACAAGATGTTCCAGGATCTTCAGGCAAACCACTGGTGATAGAATACAGTAAAAGACAGATGGGAGTTCATGTGTACAGTGATTAAAGAACCCAAGAAAGAGCGTAAGTAACCTTATTACAGAGTAATAAAACTACCAGATGCCACTGCCAATTAGTGCTGCTCTGGGCGAATGGTTGTTTTCATCTTTTCTGGACTCTGGAGGCTAGAGAAAGGAAGCTTGAATGTGACTGAGTGGGACTTAAAAAGTTTTAGGTTATAATTAAGAAGCACCCATGAAAGATAAGGCTGTCTGCAATCTGATGTCTTGCCAACACTTAAGTTGTTTTTGCCATGTGTGATGAATGCTGAAAACACTTGTTGGTATTGAGCCCTGGAAAAACCCACAGCTTATACAGAGTTCCTTCTCTGGCTCCAGGATTACTCTGGCTGTTTAGTCCTGAAGGCTGCTGGGACACCACCTCTGATCACCCGGGGTAACAAAATTCTTGGTCAGGGGTAAAGAAGCTCAATTTTAGCAGAACTGGCCATCACCTGGGAGAAGCTAGAATGTGCCAAGGATCACAGTCCCTCCCACCGGTGCCCCTTAGATGAGGCTGTAAGTATTCTAGCCCTGTAAGTACTCTAAGTTGCCTGTCTTGTCCTCACTCTGCCATTTCCTGCAGCCTGAAATTCTGCTCACCTGCAACTTTTCTGAAACTGCTTTCAAGAACTTTCAACTACTTCCCAGTTGGCAAAACAAGGGTTAAGTTCCAGCCTTAACCTCCCTTGATCTTCTGTAGCTGTCAGTGCCACTTAGCATACCCTTCTTGAAACTGCCTTTTCCTCCCAGTACCACCTGCTGTTAAGCGAGCCTTTAGAAAAGGGAGCTAGGCACCCAACTCAAGTTGGATTGCCAAGTTTTGAGCCCTGGCCTCATCGTGTGTGAATATGGGCAAGTTCCTTAACTTCTCAGGGTCTCAGTTTGCCCATCCTTATAACAAGGATAATAATAGGGCCTATGGCATAGGGCGGCTGTAGAGATTAAATGAGATAATTCCTGTAAAATCCTACGTGCCTGATGTATAGATGTTCAATAAAGGCTAGGTCAGTTTCTTCGACCATAAAATGAAGTTTAAAATGGGTCCGCTTCAGAGGGTTGTTAGGCAGATTAAATAAGTTAATACACTGCACATGTAAAGAGCTTCGAACAGACCCTGACATAAATCGGTGTTCAGTAAATGTTAACAATCGTTCTTATTTCTGACTTCTAATTCCATCCTCTACCTTCAGCTCCAGACTTCTTTTGCAGCTGCCTAGATGTTCCTTGTTATATTAAACTAAACCTGTTCAAAACCAAACTGTCTTGCATGTCCTTCTCCCACTGCCCCCGTGCTTCCAAACCCTCTCTTCCCTGTGTCCTGTATTCAATTGGTCCCTGACCATCCTACCATCACGCAAAGCAGAGCATCATTCTTGTCCTTCCCTCACCCTCCCCACACAGCTCTTCCTAGTCTCCCCTTGGTCTCTGGACTCAGCCTCCAAATATTTTGATGTATTTTGAAAACTGATGATCAATGTGGGGTGTCAAGAATGATTCCAAGGTTGTTCTGCATAACTGTCAGAAAACAGATCTGTTTGCTGAGCTTGGAAA